CGCGCGTGAGGAGCGGGATGGGCATGGAGGGGGACATGACGTAGGGCGCCGAGGCCGACTGCAGCTGGTTGCAGGGGCTCTGCGGCTCCGAGCTGGGGTCTTCGATCATGGTGGTCTGAGAGTCACAGTGGGGAGAGCTGACCTTGAACATCAAGTCCGTGCCTTTCTCCACGATGTGCTGGATCTGCAGGAAGCCTGCTGTGTACATCACCACCAGCTGCTCGCTCGCGGCCATGGTCAGCTTGCCGGTGTAGCAGAAGGAGAGGATCTGCTGGAAGCAAGCAGGGGGGACCGTCCCCGGCAGCTCAAAGGCGTTTTTGCTGTTGCCACTGAACAAGTCTCGGAAGTAGAGGGACGGCCCGGTGTGCCTTGAAGGCTTGGCCCTTCACCACGATGGACACATCGCAGTACAGCCCCAGCAGCCTCTGCTCGTTGAGGCAGCCCAGAACGGTGTTCCCAAAGTTGGGAATCTCTATGTGCAACATCTGCGACATGGCTCAGGGTCGGCTGGAGCTCCTCAGACATTCAATGCAGGAATATCCAAAGTAGGGCACATCTGAAAGAGGGAGAAGGCAGGGAGAGAGGCACAGCGTTTTTAGACAGTTCACCAAAGCAGGCAGCAGCAGAGGAACCCACCTCACCCGACATCAAAGGCTCCTCAGAGCCGACACCAAAAAACCAATCGCCTATAAAAATTACTTATCAACATTTGCAAACAACGCTGGAAATACTATTGGTGGTGGGTGGCAAAGGACAATCCGAAAAACGCGAGTATTTTCCTTCAAGTTGTGGTCTGTTTAAATAAGCACCACTGATTTATCCCCCCGGGGGGTTTTTACTTTATGCAGGAAAATCTGAACGATAATGGGAGAGAGAAGAGCAAAGCAAACGAAAGGCAGTCAGACAGCTCTCGGTAGCATTATATAAGAAACACAACAACCAGCAGCTATGTTGAAAGTACAGAAAAGATATTTATAAAACAATGTGCCATTCTGCCCGAAATAAATACAGGATTCTGCCGGAGCGACAGCTCCCAGGAAAAAAGCACTTTGAAAAGCAATCTTCCCATTTGCACCAGAAAGAGGGAGCGTTTCAACAGTTAAACCCCTTCTCAACACATTTATCCTCCAACAAAACCAGGCTTATCTCCAAATTAAGCCAGATATTTGAGCCCCAATAAAACAAACCAGCGTGCCGCAGCGAGCCGCCTACCAAGTTGTCTTCTTATTTTCCTCCCCTAAACCCAAAAAGGGGTAAGGGGGAGACCCAACCTGGACCCTCCTGCGGTCACAGCCCCCCTGGACCCCCAGCCCATCACCCTCCGAGCGATCTCTCAGGCTGGAGGGGATTCGCATCCCACCGCGGCCGCTCTCCAAAACCAGCTGTACCTTTTGGCTGCGGGCAGAATTCCCGCTTCCAGCCCCCCAAAAAAAAACCAAAAAAAAAAAAATAAAGCTGGGAAGGGACCTCGTGCAGAGCCGGAGCAGGTAGCGCTAGTGCAGCTTGGGCAGCGAAACTCCAGCGGAGCAAATCACTGCGGCTCCACCGACACGAGCACAGACCCCCCCGACCTCCTCCCCGAGCGGTCCAGGAGACCGAAAATCCTGTTTGCCTTTACTACAACCGGAGAAAAAACTACAGTTAACTAGTACTGAAAGCTCAGAAGCTCAGAAGGATGATATTAAAAAAAAAAAAAAGAAGTTTATCTGAAAAAGGTTTAAAAAAAAAACCCACTGGAAAGAAAATAATAACCCACAAAGAGCTGCTCTGTTCCCATTGCTGGGGGAAAGGAAAAAAAAAAAAAAAAAAAGAGAATTAAATTTTAACTCTC